TTCGTTAACACTACCGCGGGCAACGGCACCGTTGCTGGCAAGTTCATGCGGAACAAATAGACCTAGTTATGGCTTTGTACAATACTCTTTCATGACCTTTAGATAGTAGATACTTATTGTGCAATTTATGTCTGTATACAAGTTTACACGAATTTTATACACTCTAATTGCTGTTGATCGAGTACCCTGCAACGGCCCAGTCAGTAAAAGGATGAGGTTCCGGGTTCAAACCCCAGTGCGGGCGATTTCTGCCAGCCCCCCAGAAAGGGTTTTCGCACCGCTCATCTGGGAGTGGATATACCGAGCGAGGCGTGTAAACAAGTGGGTAGTCGGATTACGATCGACAGCCGGGGCAATACCAAAGGGGGTTTCCCCTAAAACCTTTACCTTTACCTTATTATTAACGGCCAATTGCGACGCCACGCGCAGTAAGGATGCCATGTCGCCGTGATTGACGCTAGCGTTTTCAGGAAATTCCGCTGTCACAGTATAGGCAATATTGTTTACAGAGTGTCATTCAATAGAAGGCGGATGATTCAGTGTAACATTGGATAACAACGCTGAAATGTCTGAGTTGGTACAAGAGAGCTGAAAAACCAGCCTACATTGGTATAAAAAAAGCTGAACATTTAGCCTAGGGCCTAGAAAGAAAGTGTGATTGAAGGCATATCAGCGTAAAAATGCTGACTTATGGGGTCCTGATCGACACCAATATAGAGGAGGCATTTCGAACCTATATTCTAAGATATATGCGCGTACCGTATAATCATAGTATCCAAACGAGAGGCATTTTATAAAGGATACAGAGATATGTGTGTTTGGTGTACATGGTACGTATTGTGTACAGCTCGGTTGAAATGTTGTAGTACTAGGAAATCCGCAGGTGCAGTTTGTTGTGGCCTCGAGGGGACATGTGACCAACTAGGGATGAAGGTTTTGACGATGGCGAGCACAAGCTAATCTGGTTACCATCTAACCACGTGCCTGATTTCGCGGGTCAGCGGGCTCGATGATTGGTACCCAGGAGGAATAGTGTACAGATGGTCGGTTGGGGGGGGAGGTGCATGGGACGTGAACAGCGTCACCTGAACAAGCTCCACCAGCATGTCATAAAGGACAGAGGGCTCAACATAGGCCACTAGGAGAGTACTGTAGGCAGTTTCCACCTCCACGGCAGTTTTATAAATACACCCTGTTCTCAACGTTCGGACAATCGGGAGCCCCGGCTACAGTGAAACGTGTGCTTGGATTTTGCGGGCTGGTGCTTGCAACCGAGCCCCAGGTAGGTGACGGGCAAATGCAGTCCAAGAGAACGATACACAACGGTTTATGAGAGAAACAATGCTATCGCGTACGGTTGATTGCGGCGAATTGTGCTTGTATGCTATGTTCTGGGACCGTTTTGGACGCGTTGATGTCAGAATAAGCGGCATGTCAATACAGCGAATGTCAGTGTGGCGCGAAACAGGGTGTATACTGTATGTCATGTGGTGTTCACCTGCAGGTCATCCTAAAAAACTTGTTGAAGCACTCAAGCAAGCGTCCCTGCAGTGGGTTCATTATGTATTTGACAGGAGTTACTTGAAGAGTGGATTATGTTCTCTCCACCGCGTTTACCAACAACTTCTTGGCGACCGAGCTCCTACGGTGGGAATTGGTAAACAAATCGGCTGGAACCTGGAAACCAGATCCCGAGTCTCTATTACCGACACACGGCCACTTTCTCATCGTCGAGCCTCACCGACGTCCGCGGCAGGCTGGTGGTAACGTAGCCTGGACATAAACAGGCGGTTCGAAACATTTTGGGGGTGTGAAGCATGTGAATAGAGCAGGGTGTATCTGGTCTTGGACACCGACCTTCAAAATGTGTAGGTAAAAGACTGAGACCGCAACAATTTCCCCGGGAGTGCCGGAGGATGTCCCCTACAGTTGTTCCTTTTGGTGCGGAGCGGAAAAGAAACGAGATTTACAAACCCCCAGGAACAGCGGCAAATGTGTGCGTCGCGTCGTGGCTCCTGACCTGATTCGCGTTGCGCCAGCAGCATTGCACTACAGCACTGTACCCACTTCAGCAACATAGGAGGAACTCACCGAACCAATACAGTAACACCTGCTGCAGGTTCGTTCAGGTGTGGTGTAGAAGTCCAGCGCGAAAGCAGGAAGTTCCTTCAACGCGCTCCACCAGCGCACACCCTCGTCCCTCTCTGCACTTCGATATAGAAAGCATGATCCTCATTCATCTGTCAGCTCACTCCCACACATTCAGTAAATCACTCAGCTCAAGCACTTCTTGTCAACCATGGCGCGACTTACCATCGTCCTCGCATGCTTCGCCCTCCTGCTCCTAAGTACGCGACACTTTCGGCTTTCCCAGCAGTACCTTGTTAACTGCATCTAATGCTCGTGTGACATCAACATCCTGTCCCCGATCTCTAGCTCTTCAACTAACGCAGTCGCTACGTCGTTTTACTGTTTTCTTTCTATTTTTCAGGAGCTGAGGCGGGCCCACCACCCGGTAAAGGGCCCGACAAGGGCAGCACTGGCAGCACTGGCAGCACAGGCAGCACGGGAACTACCGGAAGCACAGGCAGCAGTGGCACTCCCAAGCCTGGAGGAGGTCCCGCTCCCAAGCCCGGTCCCCCTCCCAAGCCCAAAAAGCCGTTCAAGCCTGCTGTGCTTGGTGAGTGTTCCCGGTTTTTGTTGGGGTTTTCATACTTTTCTATTGCGTTTACGAAATCGGTACTCAAATTCCTTCAACATTGAATGTTGGTTCCGTCCCTTTCTCCTTGTATGTTTAAACGCAGCTCGTTACATGGGAACCGTGCAGCCGTGCAAGCCCCTTCCATTTGTCCGCGGATCCATCGTCGCGAACGTCCTTTCAACCGAGGACAACACCACCAACTCCATGACATTCGGCCTCCTCATTTCCGGAACCTCGGAGCCGCCCACCATTCAGGGTATCTACAGCACCGATCCGTGCGAAGTGCTAATCGAGCAGAAGTTGGTACTTGACCTGAACGGAACCTGGGTGAACACGCCCCAGAAACCCTCGAGGAAGAACAAGAACCCTCCCCAGGTGTACACTCTGAGCAACACCGTGAATGAGACCGCTCTGCCGCAGCCTCGCCCTGATGGTGCTCCCAAGGGCAACGCCTGGGGTAAGGTGTGGAAGATGCAGCCCCTCTATGTGATGATCTTCGTTAACACCACTGCGGGTAACGGCACTGTTGCTGGTAAATTTATGCGCAACAAGTAGATTTGAACGCCTACTATTATATTAATAGCTACCAATTGCATTTATGATGCCTATTATGTTTTTGCATTCATTGTCTGTATGTGATGAAGGTATTGAATATCTTTAATTTTGCATTAAATTTCTCGGTCATAACCATATTTATATTCTTGACTGCTCGGCTGACAATGATTCTATAAGTTTGACGTACGTTATGATGGCAATAAGTCAAGTGAACCTGAAGAAATCACTATTAACACATGTGTGACGAGAATATTCCAATGTATTAGTGAAACCCTTTCAAACGAAGCCATGGTTATGCTTTGAGTGGCTTTCCTTCTTGGCTTGAGTGTTTACTCGTCGTGTGCCGTGGCGAAAAGCTTCAACTTGTAACCAACCACAGGTCCTCCCTGACACTCGACATGCGATTCGTTCAGATGCCCCGCCCGCAGTCAGCAACCTCTTCCCTCCGGCCATTTTCAGGTGCATGCAACTTAGTCGGGAAAAGATGCTCAGATGCATGCTATCCCGTCGTGTTTCTCCCTCTGTTGTTACTGTTTATATACCTCCGCCACGACAATCACTGTTCTGTCAGGGGGTGCCACCCATGCGACTGACACCAACTGGCGCAGCTGTCGCACGAACTCGTCGTCCAACCACACTAGTCGCAGCCTTACTGCGAACAAGGTCAATACATTTCGCAACACGCCTGACTAAAAACGGGCAAAGAAAATAAAACCCAATTGGACACGCATGCGACTCGGGAGGAATCAACCCTAAACACCAGGGCGGTTCCCTTGTTTAGGGTTGATATCTTCCGAAAAAATGAGTCCAGGTTCCCTAGTTTTTTTTTTTCCACTGCCTTACGGGACATCAACCCTAAACACCAGGACGGTTCCCGTGTTTAGGGTTGACCCCTCTCGAACAAAGTCCAGGTTCCCAAGGAGTTGTATTTTTCCTTTTCGGGCTTCCCTGCCAGGCCGATTTTGTGTGTTGCGTGTGTTGCGTGTGCTGCTTGTGTTGCGCGGGTTGCATCCCCTGACAGAACAGTGTTTTTAGTGGCGGATGTGTACAAAACGTGGCAACAGAGGGAGAAACACGACGGGATAGCATGCACCTGAGAAGCTTTTCCCGACTAAGTTGCATGCACCTGAAAATGGCCGCTCTTCCCTCCCCCCCCCTCACCCCCCAACCACATCTGAAAGCTGTTCCCATTGGCCCAACAAACAAGCCCGAACCTGGTCACACATTTTCAACGACTCACCGCTGCTTGTTTGTCGTCAGAATGTCGAATGCTGGCTACCAGGATGTCGCTAGCTGTCGTGAAGATCCATCTGTAGTGTGAGTTGTTGGAATCTCACTGTTTCGCCCATGATGTCAAAATTTCGTTTGTCTCCACCACAGCCATTGTGGCGTTTACTGGGACAACCTTTCGCCAGGATAACCCTACCCCTCACGCTTTTCGCCAGCAAGTGGAGAGCTTGTTTTCTTGGAAGGGAAACCATGTGTTCGCCATGTGCCTTTCGCCAGCTGTTTGCTTTGCGACCCCCCTCGTTTCTTCATTTCCCACCGCCTCTTGCTTTGCCTCGTGATTCCAGCGAGTCGCGTCGCGTCGCTCCCACCCACGTTCTCCCCATACCCCTCTATTCCTACAAAGAACACTATCCTTCATCCTAGCTTCTTGTCCTGCACTCACCATCCAAGAGTCTAATCGCTTCATCTTGCTCATTCGCCTCGTAGCTAGCTCACCCATCAGCAATATTCGAAAATGGCGCGGTTCTTGGTTTTCGCCGTCGCGATTCTCCTCGCCAGTGCGCTCGTCGTAGCCCACCGCGAAGACAGCAGCCAAAGGGGTGGTGGTGATAATGGAAAGGGAGGCGGTCGTTGGTGGCGGCCGTCGCCGTTGGCGCGCTACGAGACCAACATGCGGCCGTGCATCGGCTGGGCCCCCATTCGCGGAGCCGCGATGATTGATGTCCTTTCCACACAGTAAGTAGCAGCCACGGCGTTTCTCGTACTACGACAAGTGTTCACTCGACAATTAACGTCTCGATATAAAGAAGCTTCTTTTTTCGCGTTAAGAATTGCTGCTGTGCTGCCCTCGCCTCTTAACTCCTACTAAGTCTTCATTTCGCCTCCTCGTTGCTGCTTATTGTTCGCAGAACCACGGGAACGAACGAAATTCGTTACGGCCTCATGGTTCAGGGTGTCGCAGTACCTCCCGCGAAGATGACCATCTATTCGACAGACCCCTGCGACCCGCTGGTTACCAGCCCGAAGATTCTCGTCGAGCTTTCGGGAAAGTGGTACAACACTTCGCCAAGACGTGGTCCTCCGACTTTCACCATGAGTGGTTCGGTTCTGAGCAGTGCTCTTCCCGTCCAGACGACCTATTTTCGCGGGAGGAGTTCCCAGGTTCCTGTGTTCATCTCATTCGCTATTGGTACGACGTTGAATAGCACTATAGCTGGAAAATTCCAACGTGACTACTAGAAGGCAGCGGCGGTCTCGCTTCTCCAAATGGAAAAAGAGTAGTCTATGGCAGTGAGTCACATAGGAGAGGACAGGTTTCAGGCAGGACTGCATGGTGAAGGCTCAACGTGGGGGTATTGTCGATGAGTTGACAACGGCTTGGTTGCTGCTGATGGGCTTGAGAATGGAAAACGCACTCTTTTGTTTTTCATCTTCATTTATTCATTGGTTTACTTGCTCTCGCATCGGAATCCTCTTTATTAGTGAAACTTATTATACAAGACTTGCAACCTCAAACGAGGCCACACCAACCCATTGTAATTAAGCAACGTGAAACAAACCACGGATCTACTTTCCCTTTCTCCTAAACACAGAGGTGGCCAGGCACCTCTTGCTTGATTACCATTACCCAGGTGCACCAAAGCAGCATTGCCCAACGCCCGCTTTGCAATACCCCCGCAAGCCAACTAGCGACTTCCCTTGTTCTCTGTAAGAACGATGCCAGCTAGCGACCGCTTGTCTTGTGTAAGAACCGTTGGAGAAGGGTGGTTTGCGGGAGGACGTGTCAGAAAGAAAAAGGTTCGCTGATAAGTGCACGTCAGCGAACTCTCATGGTTATGCACGCATAGAAAGTGACACCGACGGCGACAGAAACGAAGAGAATCGCGACGGTAACCAGCAGGAACTGCGACCAGGCGAGAGTGGGCGGACAGCTCGTCGCGCACTCGTACCGAATGTAACGGTCTGAAAGGTCCGAGAGGGGGCGAGACAGGGTAATGGAAGTGAGATGGGTGGAGAACGGTGAGAACGAGAAACGGTGGAGCTGTTAGGAGGAGGGTGGAGAATGGTGATATAAGGAAGCTTCGAGGTAAAGAGGAACAACCGGCGGATGCTATGCGATAAGCGTGATCTATGTTGGTGGGAGACAAGGGTAACTTACATGAGGCGCTCCAGGCGGGTCTGAAATACGCGTTACAAGACGGGGGTGTATCGGCCACGCATGCCTGTTACTCGTCGGAACGCAAGGGGGGACACAGGTGGAAAACGGGGATGGGGAAAGAGACGCAGCATTGTGAATGGACCATGCTTTAGAGCAGTTGATGATATTTGATGAAGTATATGATTAATCGATTAAAAAACAACCCCACTGAGGAGAACGAGACACACAGAACGCGAACGAGAAAAGACACAGTGAGAAAAGACCACACAGCCGCGAAGTAAGTCACAGAAACGGCGAGCGGCGGAAGGAAAGCCAGGGAGAGAGGGATGATCGGAGGGACGGGACGTATAGCCTGTAACGGAATACACGGACATTGCGTACGGAAAAGTCACGAGTAGGTACCGCGCACGCATGGCGCACGCAAGGTCAGCGCGCTCCTGGCACGGGCGTGATTGTAGATTTGTTTTGAGAAGCCTCAAAACAAATTTACAATCACATGGCGCACGCAAGGTCAGAGCGCTCCTACGGTAAGGGGCGTTCCCGCAACGGTCGCGCGCGACATGAGGCACGACAGCGCTGCGATGCTTATACGCATTGACCCGTTCCGTCTGGCAGGAACCTGATTCTTGGTGTTACTCGAAAGTAGCACCGAGAATTCTCAAAAGTAACACCCTTATACGCATTGACCCGTTCCGTCCGGCAGGAACCTGATTCTTCAGGACTCGATTTGGTCGACTTCGAGGCGCCACAATGCACAAACATAGTATGTTTGTTGAGACGCCTCAACTGATGGAAATGGAAATGCCGCATAGTATGGCGCTGTGATTGTTGTAGGAATGGAAATGGGTCATGCTGGACTGGATGTGAAATGCGCGACGCAAAAATCCGTCGCGGACGGAAACTCATCACGCATCGGTGACGGACTCCGTTCCCGCATCGTCCGTGACGGAAACTCATCACCCATCGCGCTGCCGGCGCTAAAGGCGACTCTTCGAGTCAGCTCACCGTGCACCGCGGAACATGCAGTACAAAATTTCACGAGGCGACTCTTGAGTGCTGAACGCACCTCCTCATGCGGCCTTACTGGGCAAAGCTGAACGCAATATGCAATTCTTAACGCACCGCACATTGCTTAGACGTACCGTGCAGTGTTTGACGCATTTGGCGTTGGCGTATTCCGTCCCCGGCACCGTGCACGCCGTGATGCACGACGACGCCGCGACCCCCGCCGTGAAGCACGGGGCCACCAGGAGCACGAGGAGAACGACTAGTACAGGGCGTTCCATAGCTGCTACTATACTGTACCGAGTACTAGCACGGCGATAACCAGTTGAGGAAATATTACCGAAAGAAGGCTTTAATTATGAGGTCTTGCCGGAGATGGGAGCGTCGGGGAAATAGTTATCGGTGAATCACGGAAGCGTGGCCAGATGCGCCGTACCGTAATGTTGTGAATCGTGCTGAGAAAGCACTCTCAGATAAAAGAATCGCACTCCTCTACTGAGACCATAGGCCCTCGGATCGCGTAGGGGCCCTTCGAGACCTTGACGGAGCCTCTGACTTGACTCGACGAGCTAATGGCTTCTAGACTGAGCAAATAGAGAAAGTTGCATTCTCACAATCGATGTGGCAAGTGCTCATAAAAATGAATTGTGATTCTCTCCCCGCTTCTGGCGTGTCAGTAAACGCGAGAGAGCCTCGTTTATTTCCGATAGCTGCTTCGGCAAACGAACTGCCGTCCGCAGCTTTCGGTCGAATGTGAGTCAAGATCAAGAGGGCAAGGGCAAACCATGGCTGGTGTGCTGCGTGCGTGCCTGCTGTGGTAGGTGCGTGCTGTTCTGCGACAGCTTCCACTTTCCAAACCAACAAAAACGCAGCTGCGCCTCTGCCGAGCGTAAACGCGACTCTGCGAACGCACGACGCGAAATTAGGAGAAATTGGGATCGTTGGAGTGGAAATTGAAATGGCTCACGAGCGAAGCGGGTGCGGCGCGTCGCTGAAGATCGGACGGTGCTTGCACGTGGGTATGTTCTGTGCCCACAATCAGTGTCTGTGTAAGAAATTTTCTCGACATTCCTTAGCGCAGCCCGCAACATCGCGTACAGCAACAACCCTTGTTCGCCCGTTACTGCTAACGGGGCTTCGCCAACATCGCGCTGTAAGGAAAATTCCTTTTCCTTACTTCGCGCCCCTGCTCAGCGCGTACACCACTGTAGCACCACAGTCAGCACCGTTACCACTCGCAACCCTCGCATCGACAATCCTCCCGCCACCTTTGCACGTCGCACCCCGACTTCACAGCTCGGCGGGTAACCCGCGCTCCGGGCCTCCGCCTCGACATTTTCCCAAACCTCGGTTCCAGGCCCGTCGCGCGTCACCCACAGTTCATTACCGTTACCACTGTAGTTTCGCTATATATTCTTCGCTCATGCCTTCGCTCATTGTACTCTTGCTTCGATAGTGCATCGCTCGCTCGCTCACTCAATTGCACTCGTAACACTTGGTATTCAGAGCCTACGATCTCTTCTCGGACCGCACCCACACCTTCGCTTCCCCACTATCTCATTTTTTTTGGGGGGGGTAGACGCCTCTCAGCGACACAGCACCGCCGCTCGTAGTGCTCTCTCGTAAGCACGCACGGCCACGACAGAGGCTCTCGCTGAGCTTGCCCGACACCCCCGCCATGGCCGAATTTACGCTCGCGACACTGATGCAGGAGCAACTCGACCGTCTCGTGCGCCAAGTCGAAGAATCGGCGCTCGAAATTGCGACGCTCACGGCGGAACGTGACTCCGCACGTCAGTAATCTACGGTGAATACTCCGGCGCCACCACACGCACCTGCAAATGCACCTGCACAATCGGAGGAGCCGATCGTCATTTCATCAGGCACACCGACACAGAACGACAGTGTGGGACAGCGCTCAGGCGCAGCCAGTGATGGCGCCGCCCACTCGATGCCGGGCATGGAGAGGAACAGGGTTGCGCCAAGCCCACGGGAGCCTCGTGAAGCCCGTCGGCACGTGGAATTTGCGGCGACAAGTGGCGACCACGCCATCATGACGCCAATGCCACTGAAGCCGCAGTGCCCGCCCTGTTTCGACCCGAGTCAGCGTGGAGGTCCGACGGTTCAATCGTGGGTCTTCACGATGAACGTATTTTTTTACGCAAACTACGTCGAGTCGGACGCAGCGAAGATCAGATACGCCATCTCGCTGCTGAGGGGCCCCGCCATGGACTAGTGGCGAGTCATCGTGACATCGCCACGCGCCTACGAGCCACCGTCGCAAGAGGAAGGGCCCACGGGTCCAGCCGTCACCTGGAGTTCATTCTGCGAAACCGCCCAGTACAGCACGTGGGTCGCGTGGTGCGCAGGGCTTCGGGCGCGCTTCGAGCCGATCGCGGCTTCTATTTCGGCGCGTCAGAGACTGCGTACTTGGCGGCAACTCGAGTCGGTTCAAGACTACACGAGCGGTTTTCTTGCATTATGCGAGCAAATCGGCTACATGCACGAAGCGGAGCGGGTGGACCGTTACGTCGGAGGGCTGGAGCCGGACATCTCGCACGAAATCATGCTACGCGGACTCTCGAATTTCAACGAGATTCTCGCGCTCGCCGAGAAAATCGACATTTTGCGCCGTCCGAGACCGGGGTCCTATTACGGACATCGCCCTCGGGGACCAATCGAGCACGCCACCGTACATGCCGTTGCGACGAATGCAGCTGCCGCGCCGTTTAAAGGGCGCTGCTTTGCTTGCAATAGGCCGGGCCATCGCAAGAGTGAGTGCCCACAGGAGCTGAGGCGCCGCGGAGCAGAGCAGGGGAGGGAGTCTCCAAGGCAGGGAAACGCCAGCAGTCAGTAGGAATCGGGCCAACTACTGACGAGACTGCCTGCTCGCCCAACCCCACCGACCCTCACCGAGTCACAGTACCGATTCATGCTATCGATCGGGCTCGGACGAATAAGGAGGGTACAGCGACGGATTGACCTGTACTGATCCACGGGAAAATACAGGGAGCAGCAGTGAAGATTTTTATCGACGGAGGAGCAAGTAACAGTTTAGTTAATACCGCAACCGCAC